TATACAACTTGAGAACAGCTGAGATCTTTTTAAGAGGAAGGAGAAGGTCTTTAGATACAGAGACACAGAGGGAACAGAAGAAGGCAAGGGGACATGTGAGCAAACATGGGATCATATGTAATAGACTTTTGGAGGCTTCAACCTCCTACTCAAAGTAAGAAGCAACCAGAGGCCCTTTCCAAGAGACTTCAGAGGGATTATGGCCCTCAGTGATACTTAGATGTAATATCTATAGACTTCAGAACTATGATTGAAACTTTTTCTACTTTTTAAAGTTCCAGGATCATAAAAATTTGTTATTGAGGCTGGGATCATAAGTACATTCTTCATACTTCTTTTCAACTTTTTCGGTCTCTGATTCTCACATGACTAATGCCTTATACCTGTTTCCATGTTTCCCCTGGCCACTTGGATATAGACTGATATATTCATCCCTAGCAACCCCACCATACACACTTGGTACCTTGCACTGTGATGCACAGTAGTAAGTGGGTGTTTAAGTAGAGAAATCATAGCAACAGATTAATACAAATGCATATGTTTTCTCCTTTCATATTTAAACTTGCTAATAGCTAAATATTTTGCCATATTCATCTTTAAAATCTCACTTAATAATATGTCATGGAAATCATTATGTGGCAGCCCAGTTGTGTTGTTTAAAACTCAACAATTTAATCAGCCAGTTGTAGTATAATTTAATTAAATGTTCCCTGAAGGATCTTTTCCATGCTTCTAATTTTAAGACATTTATAAAAGTTGCTGCACTAAACATGTATCTAGGCACACACACACATATGTTTGATAACTATATTTGTATATGATATTTGGTGATTTATTACTAAAATAGATGCTAACCTGAAGGATTGGTAGATTCAAGAGACTGCATCTGAAATTTAAGCCAATAATACCAACTTCATGTGTAAGTGTGCTATATTCTTATCAAAGGGTTGCCACAGAAAGTAAAATATGGACCTAGAAGACTTACACTTTTCCTTATCTAAAAACATAAATGGTTTTTAAGGAAATTTTCAGTCCTGTCCTTTCTACACTGAGTATTTTTGGGAAGAATGAAATAAAACCCAGCTAGGTTTGCTGATGAATAAGAAAGAACAGTACTCACCTGTAGGCGAATCACACAACAGATCAGAAGAAGCCCTTTTCAGCCACTTAACAAAATTCTGCCACCTGTGTAAGAAGAGGAGCCAGGATTGAGTGATGAGTAAGCGATGCTTCCTCTACTTCAGGAGCATGTGCAGCCAAGCTGAGTTTTACTCGTTGGCAGCAATATTGAAAGGGATTTTGATTCAGTGTAGGAAACAAATAATTTGAGGTATGTATATCTACCAGGAAGAGCATTGGTATAGGGAACCAGATGCCCTCAGAGTTACAGGAAGAGATAGATGAGTGTGGGACCTAGGCCATCAACCCCAGAATATCAGGGGTAGGGAGCATGGCTAAAGCAGGAGGATTAAGGGGTTGAGGCCAGCCTAAACTGTACAGTAGTACCCTGTCTAAAAACCAAACAAACACATAATAATGGACCATAGGTTAGAAATTCAGCACCCTGAAACAAACGAATGAGTTACAGCAAAGTCAGCAGACTGGAGATTGGGGTCTGCTGTCGAACTCAAGGCATCCAGAGACCAAGAACTATGAGAAAATCTGGCTAATGTCACAGTCACCTCTAGCCATAAAATCAATTACTGTTCTAATGGCAGTAAAAACACGACTAGTTATTATTTTTGCATTGTTACATAGGAAAATGAATAAGTCCATGACCTTTCAGGGTTAGCACTATTCGGCCCCCCTTTCCACCTCACAATCTTATACCTTTACCTATCAGTGAAATGAATTAAATCAGTCATGGAATCTTCATTTCAGGTGGCTATCAGAAATGTACCCTTTTGTTGCCGTGAGTGTCAAAAGGATTGCAACACACAACAAACATAGAGGTAGGATAATTACATGTGCTGGACTTAAAAATTTAATGACTTCCCAGGAAGAAATGTATTGGAAGAAATGTATGTCGCAACTGAAAAATCAGTTATCTAAAGCATAAAATAATCCATCAAAATTTTGGTAGCTTAAATCATTTATACTTGCTTGCCTAGAACTCATTTATGTATTATATAAACATGCTTCTCTGGCAGTAATAGGTGCCTGGCTTCCTTTTGGATACAGTGTGGCTAGGACTATAGTCAAATATCCATCTTCTGCTCAGTTAAGATGGTGATCCACCTGTTTATGAATAACTTTATTCCTTCTCCTCTCTTCCGTCCCTCCTCTGTCTTTGTTTTTAATCTCTGTCATTAAATTGTTTCTGGTCTTCCATGATTTTTACACTCCCCTAATATTGTGAGTTGCTTCATGTTATTAACACAGAGACTCACACCTGGTCAAGGTACATAGACTTCCAGACATACAGCCCTAAATGACACACCTGTGTCACACCCTCCTCCCACATGTCAGTGGTCACTGCGAGGGGTTAGAGAGATGGCAAGAGCCAGAGGCGGTGGCTGACTAAACAGAAACTGTTTTGAAGGTCCGACAGAGCTGTTGCAGGTACAAATCCACAGCCACTGTGACAGCATGCACACGGCTTGCACAAGTCCAACCCAGACCACATCCTAGCTTGAAGAGGGGCGGAGGCATGAAGTCCCACCCCCTAATGAGGTAGCTGTTGGAAGTCAATGGTTTCTGGAGAGGGAGAGCCAGTTGTTCTAAGAGTCAGACCCCAGTGAAGGTTACACATTCAAGAGTATACAGGCAGCACAAATTAGAATCCATACCATGAAAAGACAGGACACAGTTGGGTGGATGGGATGGGGAAATAAACCTAGGATAACTGGGGCATGAAATAAATATGACCAAAATGCATTATATGAAGTTCTCAAAGAACTAGTATTGAGGAAAAATGAAGAAATTGACATTTGCTCATGTTGGGGAGAGACAGTGTCTGCTGCTAGCAAACAGACTAAGTGGACAGAAGATTAGTTTCTAGTTCACCCATCAGCAGACCAACTGAGATAGAGAGAAAGTTGGCAAAAATGTGTCTTAGGTTTTCTCAAGAAGTTCTAATATCATATAATTTTACTTTACATATAAACTTTAAATAGAAGTGATACGTTAACAATGAAACCAGCTTGTTTTACTTATATCTCATAAACCTTTTCCTATACATGGATCATGTATCAGGAGCATTCTTTGATCAGCGTGTGGACTCTGATAGGAGATTTGAACATGTGGTCTCCAGAGCTCCATGTGAGAAAGAGGTAAATCCTGATGTGCAATAATGCAACCAGAAAACCAGGTGATTTTATCAGATGCAGCAGGCCTAGGCTGGCAAAGAGAAGCTGGAGGAGAGAACTCTCTCATGGGGTAATAATCATACAAGCATCAGGTAATAGCTCAGCCCTGGAAACAGACTGTAGTTTTCTTCACTGCTTCATTTTAGACACTATTTGGAAGAGCAGGCATATGCTTAGACCACCTTCCAAACGTTTTACAATAAAACACAGCCAAGAGCCTAGATCTACTGGTAGTCACAGATTGCATATTCCATTTATCTTTCAGAGCTGTCAGAAAATTTCAAGCCATGTTGTCAGATATCAAGTAAGAGAGAATGGCCAGAGAGAGGGCTCAGAGAATAAAGGACTTTGCTATAGAAGCCTAATAACCTGCACTTGATCCCTAGAACCCACGGTGGAAGGAGACAACTGATTCTGAAAACTTTCCACTGAATTCTCCAGGCATGCGTGTGATCACATACACACACACAACACACACACACACACACACACACACACTGATGAGTAATGAGTACATAAACAGAAAAAAAACTATAGGAGACAAGGCCCTAGATAAAACACTATTAGAAAGTTTTCTACTTTTTCTTGATTATATGCAGCAAATAGGGGGAAGAGAAGGTAGCAAATATTGCTAAAGCTTCAGCTTGGGCATTGTCTGACACAAAAGGCAGAAGGGACTTGTGTGATCAATACATTTCTTATGATTATTCTACAAAATACTTCTCATTACTATATCTCATTTTTAGACCTTCAGAAAAGTATTCAACTTAAATGTAAGAATAGGTTCCTGTTGTAATAACAGGTACTAGTAATTCTAATAACAAAAGGATGTACCAAGCTTTCTCATTCCAGCTAGGGAACAAAGACTGGGACCCTGATTCTAGATTCAGGAAGATTCAAATTCACATTCAAATTCTAGACTGGGAATGTAGCTAAGTGGGGAGAGTGCTTGCTTAGCAGGCATGAAGTCCTGAGTTCACTCTCTAGGGAGCATAGTACTTATGATGACACTTGGGAGGTAGGGATCAATGATCAGGAATTCAAGGTCATCCACCGATAAGTAGCAAGTTCTAGACCAGCCTGTGCTACAAGAGGTTCTTTCTCAAACACCAGCAAGTTTCAAATTCAACTTTTTTTTTTTTTTTTTTTTTTTTTACTTAATAAAGATTTCAGAGGGTGTTCTTGGTACCTTTTATTCATTATTGTAAGCTACTTACCCTGAGACAGGTTAAAGGGATGAGTCATTACCATCCCCTTTTCATCTGACTCAAGTTCCACGAGTGGGCAGGTCATGCAACTTGGCTTCACAGCCATATTGTCCACTTTGTAATTATGGGCATTCTTTCAGTGTCTACTAACATTGACTGTTGTAGAAGTCTGTGGTTAGTCTGGTTTTTATTCATTGTTAATTAACTTCCCCTGTATTTTTCAGTAAAGATCTTGGACAAATTTTATTTGTCATTATAATACAAATTTCTCTTTGTAACATACAAGCACAAGGGTGTATTTTTTTTTTCATAATTTAGCTTAGATCGTAGTGAGTTTTCAATTTGTATACACGGGGCTCTTTCTCACCAGCTCTGTAAACTTTTTTTAGTTGGTGCTATCCCTTGAGTATGGTTTGTGTAGGTCACCTAGTATATACTAGACCTTTATCCCGCAGCTTGACAATATTGAGACATTAAGATTCTTGCAAGGTTAAGTCTAAAGGAAAGTTATTAGGGCACCAGGACTGCTACCTTTGGAGGAGATTAAAGTAGTTCTCAAGGGACTCTGGTAAATTCCCTTACAATTAGTTGTTGCAAAATTAACAATACTGGTCTTTCAAATCAATGGCTTTCTGTCCTGCCACGCAATTTCTCCTTTTGTGTGTATTTCTGCCACATGCCATCGGTCACATTGTTACTCAGGTATCAGAGACTCTAGCCAGAGGCCAAGCTAATGAAACCACCTGATTTGGATTTCCAGTCTCTAATGCTTTCAGCTGAATATACTTAAAATTACAGCAGAGAAATTCAGAATTTTGTTATGTAAGGAAAATGAGCTACCATAGGAGGACTTTGGTGTTTATTTTATTTTATTTCTCTATTTTGTTCTTAATTTCCAATGATGCCAAGTAACTTTAGTATTCTAGCCTTATATAATATGCTTTATCTTTTTTTCCCCAAGTTTTTTTTTTTCAGGTATAGATTCTGTAGAAGTTTCTTAAGTTTGGCATAACATATTAAATTTTTCTACTGTGTTTCTTTTGTTTATTTTTATTGGTTCCTAGTGACTTTAATTCTTTAGAGAAGTTGAGGGTTCCTTGAAATCACCCATTCTTCTCCAAGTTTTTCATGATTTTATCCAATCATCTTCAATACTTTTTAAGCTTTATTTTTATCATTGGTTTGTCTCACTATTCTTATCTCTTTATTGTTTTATAATTCATATCAACAGGATGCATGGTTTTTGCAACTTTGAAAGAACCACAATAATTTCTCAAACTTTGCTAGGTTTTAGAGCAGAAATATTTTCTTTCTTTCTTTCTTTCTTTCTTTCTTTCTTTCTTGCTTGCTTGCTTGCTTTCTTGCTTTTTTTAGAGCAGAAATATATTCGAAATGTTATTGAAGTTTAGAGAATGTAGGGTTAAACTTACTTTTCCATGTTTTGTCATGCTTATTTTACTTTAGAGTTTTTTTTTAATTTCTTTTTAAAATTATCTTTTAGGTTAAAAGTATGCCTTTAAAGTAGGCTTTATATGTTGTTTTGTTTTTTTTTTTCTTTTTTTGTATTCACCATTAAATGAGAGTTTGTCCTGATTTCCATGGTTCTGCTCACTGTTCCCATAGGCCTGCAGACAAGGGACAGGTGACAATTCCTGTGTATACTTGGCAT